TCAAGATTCAGCCTTGGGGCAGCATGTACCAGTACTCTATTCTTTTTTATTGTTGAATAATATTCTCTGGTATGGATATACCACATTTAACTTATCTGTACATCAGTTGGTGGACATTTGGGTTGTGTTCACTTTTTGGCTATTACAAATGTAGAATGCTGATACGACTATCTGTGTGCAAATTTTTGTGCACATTTGTATTTTCATTTCACCTGGGGATACACCTGGGACTGGAACTTTCAGGTCTATGGCAAACTTTGGAGGAACCACCAGGCTATTTTCCAAAGCCACTTCACCATTTTTCATTTTCACCATTAGAACGTGAGGGTCCCAGTTTCTCCTGGCTCCCTTTTATTGTCTTCTTTGATTTAATTCTATAGTCAATTCTGCCTTTTCTGATCCTTACTAAGGGTAGAAAAATATTTCCATTGCTGTTAGTGTCACCATTTTTTTCTCACTTTGAACAAATGAAAGGCAATTATCCTACATATAACATTTATTTCGACTTTTATACTATTTCCCACTTTTGACATCTGTCTTGAAATCTATAATAATTTCAGCTTTCAAATTCCAAAATGTTCTCCCTGAGGTATAAGTTCAATGAGGGCAGGCACCTTATCTGTTGATTTTTCTTGTAAACTTTATAAGTAGCTTGTGACAACTGTTGAATAAGTATTGAAAGAGAATATGATTATTGAATAATGTATAAAAGGACTTAATGTCTTATAGGCTGAATTATTTTTGTTAATAATATATACATTTCTGGGGCAGCCCCTGTAGCTCAGTGAGTAAAGCGCTGGCCCCATGTACCAAGGTTGGTGGGTTTGAACCCAGCCCTGGCCAAGCTGTAACAAAAAAATAGCTGGGCATTGTGGCGGGTGCCTATAGTCCCAGCTACTCTGGAGGCTGAGGCAAGAGAATCACCTAAGCCCAAGAGCTGGAGGTTGCTGTGACCTGTGACGCCGTGGTACGCTACTGAAGGTGACAAAGTGAGGCTCTATCTCTTAAAAAAAAAAAACCAACTATATATATATATATATATATATTTCTGTTTGATAATTTTAGTTATTGTTTTTATGTGCAGATGAACAGGAGGCTGAAGGCATAACAGAAGAATGTAAAGAATCGTGAGCAAGGACTTGCTGGCGTGTGCTTTTGAGACAGTTGGTAACTAAGTGAGATTACATTTGGGGGGAATATTTTGCGTTTGATGAATGCATTATGGAGACTGTTCCTCAAATATGACCTTGACATGTGGATTCTCCCTTGGTGGATCACATTTCTTTGATTTTGTGAGACTTGGGGGTTTTCTTCATCGAAATTTCTGGGAAATTTTTTAATAAATTTTCTGCTAATCTGGCACTATCAGGTGTACATCATAGAAACTAACATTTCACTGTATATGTGTTATGGGGAACACAGGCAGCATGCTAGTACGTGGTTCAACTTTATTGTGATTCAGACTGACTGTGGTCACTGTGAGTTTTTGTTCTGGCCCTGCTTTTCCTTCTTGTCACCTGTCTGATTAATGTGTATCAAAGAAGTACAGCTTGCATAGGAGGAAGTGAATGTCCTAAGCAAAGCAATGTTTAGGAGAGCCTTTACTAGCTTATTTAGCAGTGGCATTTTTGTTAAGTAGGAGTCTGGGCGAATAATTAGATTTATTACTTTCGGTTTGTTATTTTCTTTCTGTGCAGCAAATAAAGATGAACTCCTTTTAGAAAAGGCTGTGATAGCGTGGTAAGGTTTGTCCGGTTCTAAGTCAGTAACCTAGATTCAGAGAAAGTTTTATGTTGTCACTCTGTAAGATGAATTGGCATTAGTTCTAGAAGTCCAATTCTTTTTCTGATTCAAAAAATGAGCTGGCTATTGTGCTACCTTTAATGAAATTTGCTGGTATGTGTTCATCTATGTATATTGAATAACATTAATAATTTATTACATTAAATTTCCTTGACTTTTTTTTTTTTTAAGAGGTATAGAGTCTAGTCCTGTCACCCTAGGTTGGAGTGCAGTGACACGATCATAGCCTATCGTAACCTAACGCTCCTGGGCTCAAAGGGTCTTCCTAACTCAGCCTCTCAAGTAGCTAGGACTATGGATGTGTACCACCATGCCCAGCTAATTATTAAAATCTTTTTTGTTGAGGTGGGGTTCTGCTGTGTTGCCCAACTTGTTCTTGAATTCCTGGCCTCAAGCGTTCCTCCAGCCTCAGCCTCCCAAAGTACTGGGATTACAGGCATGAACTGCTGAGCCCAGCCTCTTTGCCGCTTTAAGATGAAAAATTCTGCAGCTACTGTTTTCAGAGATGTTGATGGACACAATACCTTCTACTTTTTTCAGCCCTTCTATTTTGGTTTGTTGTCTATTCGTTTAAAATAACAGTGTGTGCTGATGTCAGTGTGCTATGATGTAATTTTTCTTGATGCCAAAAGTTTTGCTGTGGGATAGCAGCAGAGTTAGGAAAGTCGTGATTTTAAATTCTCATGGGAATGACATGTGGCATTCTAGTGTGTGTAGGGTTTGGGTGGGAACAATCAGAGGGCAGAGGTGGTATGGGTGGGAATTTCGAGTGGGTCAGAGAGAAGCCTAGTTGTCCATCTGCCCTTCAGAGGAGTTCAGCTTTCTAAATCCATGCTTTCCTGGTATTTGATGAGTGTGTGTGGGGGGGTGGGGAAGAGGAAAAAGGGTAAGTGGGGGGAAGAGAGAGAAAGAGATGGAGGAGCAATTGTTTTTAGACTGACACCACAGAGGGCTTGTGACTTTATAGTGTGCTCTGTAAATGGTAGTTGGGGCACAGTGGGTCTTTCTAGTATTTACATAAGGAGAAGAAAACAGTAATTTAAAGTAGTAAATTCTGGCATAGCACATCAAATGAAGGTAACTAACAAGGACTGAATGAACTAAACTAAATTTATAATTCAACACAGAGATTCCAGGGTTTTAAAAAGTTACTCTGATTTAAAGAGAAAAGTGTTCTTATTAAGAACAAGTGTTTTTATTTTGAGGTTTCCTTTAGGCCTGTTTGCCCCAGAACAAGATACAGAAAAAAAAAATTATAGAAGAAAGAACTAATTCATTTTAGGAATGAATTTAGGTACCTAAAATTTGAGATTTTTCTACATTTGACTCCTTAAAAAAGAACAAAACTACTGGCGCCACCTTTATTGTAAATTCCCAAAGGACCTAAAGTTTATTGCTCTCCAAACTAACTCCCCTGCTACATACACCAATAAATTCTTGTAGGAGGAACAGGCTATCATCTTGATAACATAATTTTAATATTTAACAAGTTCTTTATTTTAATATAAGCTGTTGATTTGAAGGTCAATCTCAGCATGAAAATGGAACATGCCTGGAAGAGAAGCCCCTGTTCCCAGCTACTCTTTCTGTCTCATGTTGATATTTGCAATCAATTTTGCTCCACTGTCTAAAACTGAATTAGAATTCTCTCCCTGGACTGCACAGGTTGAACTACTCTGAGAACGAAGGAAGTCATCTTTCAAAACATTATTTTTCAGATAAGTTTTCCCACCTCCATTACCATTACCAGCATGTCTGGTTCTTGCTTCTTCACCTTGGCACTACAAAACGATCTGGCAATTTACACTTACTCAGAATGAGGGAGAAACATCAATGTGGGAGGAAGATTCATTCTCATTCGGCAGGTCCTTCCTAGTGTTTAACAGACCTGAAGCAGATCTTTAACATAGTCAGATATATTTTTTTTTTATTGTTGGGGATTCATTGAGGGTAAGAGAAACCAGGTTATACTGATTGCATTTGTCAGGTAAAGTCCCTCATAGAATTGTGTCATGCCCCCAATAGGTATGTCACACACCAACCTAGTCACGAAATTTCTTCTTGATCTATTTTTATTAAACCTGGAAATGGATTGGTCCGTATTCTACAGTCATGATTAGCACATCCAAAAATCAAACAAGTTCTGCTTATTGTAACCGTTGGGTCTTCTCTTCACAAAATGATTTGATATTTGTACATACACTCATTCGCTATCTCATGTATTTTTTCCAAATTTTTCTTCTTTGGTTATCTGTTTTTCACGAAAGGCGGAATTCATTCTACAAAAGGTGATACCTATAATGCTTGGATCAACTTTTCGACGATGCATCCTCCCTGATGCACATTTAGTTTCACAGCTTCTCTACAACATGACCTCATGCTGTCTACTCAGTGGCATCATTCATGGGTTAGAAAACACAGCTCTGGGTGGCGCCTGTGGCTCAGTGGGTAGGGCACTGGCCCTATATACCGAGCGTGGCAGGTTTGAACCCAGCCCCAGCCAAACTGCAACCAAAAATGGCCAGGAATTGTGGGGGATGCCTGTAGTCCCAGCTACTTGGGAGGCTGAGGCAAGAAGATTGCCTAAGCTCAGGAGTTGATGTTTGCTGTGAGCTGTGACACTACAGAACTCTACAGAGGGCGAGAAAGTGAGACTCTGTCTCTTAAAAAAAAAAAAAAAAAAAGGAAAGGAAAGGAAAAGAAAATGCAGCTCCAGGGTGGTGCCTGTGGCTCAAAAGAGTAGGGCACCGGCCCCACATACCGGAGGTGGTGGGTTCAAACCCAGCCCTGGCCAAAACTGCAAAGAAAAAGAAAGAAAATGCAGCTCCAAGAGTTGCATGTGCTTCAAAGCTGTTCTTATGTTTTTATTGTTCTTTTTAGAGACGGAACTGGAATTTGAAAAAGATTAATAAAATAGGAAATTCTATTCTTTTAAGGCCCTTGACTTAGGGGTCATTTCTCTTTTATGTTTTTGATACAGCCAGCTAATTTATTATTTTGTTCTTTTATTTCACAAACCCACCACATTCTCAGCCTCAGCCTAAGCAAATTCAGTCCTTCCAAATCAAACAGAAACTGTGAATGGGACTGTCATCCACTGTGATTTCTTTTTGTGTATATTATTTTAGAGCGGTATTTACCCATGTCTCTGTAACACAAAGCCAATACAGAACAAATAAACATAGATACAGTAAGTATAAATATAAATTCCCATATGATTTATTGTTGTTCCTTATACATAAGAAACAGTAATATACAACTTACACTGTTTTAGAATGTAAAATGGATAAAAATGTGTACAAAAAAGCACATCCCTAGAAAAAGGTATTGGCAAATAGTAAAAACTTGGGTGGGGGAGGGGAAGCAAACAAAATAAATCAAAACAAACAAAACAAAGGAGAGAAAAACAACAATTCTTCAATTCAGTGTGCAAACATTATATAAAAATAGAAATACTAACTCTACAGGCAGTATTTCCTGATAAATTACTTAAATAGCGTATCTACACAATCTGAGAGATCTATTCCAATGGCAATGAGAAAATAATTTATAAAAATAAAGCAATGGTATACAAAGATGACAGAAAAAAAACATAACTTTCAGAAATGGTATTTAACATTTCAATGCTATTTCCTTATCGGGAATACTTTTCCGCAAAGAGTTTTTATACTATGTACAACATTGACTTTTTTTAGGTACTACAGTAGCTTTGTTAGACACTTAAACTCTTTCTGCTTGATCCAAAAATTCTTTACCCAGTCACACAACAAATGAGGTAATATTTGTATATAAGTTTCACGTTTGTCATTTTTTTTTTTCTTTTGGAAAAATGAAAAAAAAAAAAAAAGCGTATAAGCTTTTCTTCTCCCTGGAAATAGGCACGAGGGATGGGGTCAAACAGTATGGAAGACCAGATGGCTTTCTTTGCAATCTACAACACTTGCAAATGCCGAACCAACTTATTCCACTTGGAAAGAGACAAGACAAAACAAAAATAAAAGAAAGAATCCCCAAAACATTCGTTCTAAGCACAAAGGGAGGAAGAGCTGGCTCTGCTGATTTTCTTTGTGCCATTCTTGTAAGAGATTTGCTGATAAATTTCAACTACCTGCTCTCTGAAAACACTTTCCACATGAAACCTAAATTCCAGGCAGAACGGAGTTAATAAATAATCCGTATTTACAATCTTATAGTCACGAAGACTCCTAACAAAGATGATATGGATAGTCCTTCCACGGCTTCCTTTTCCATGAATTAGCCTTCGACCAGATCTTCCAGAAGAACTAAAAAATAAATATTTTACATTGTAAAGCCTTTGTTTTTTTTAAAAAAAAATCTACAGTCCAAAAGAGAGACTTGGAAAACTCTATGATAATTTAGGAAAAAAGGAGAAAAAGGAATGTTAGGTTGATAATAATTTTGTGCCTTTCTAACCATAAGCATATAAGCACAGCTGGCCCTCCCTGGGGAGCAGCTGGTGCTCACTGAGATGGTAGGTTTTCCTGTTTTCCTGCTACATCTGCACAAGCTACATCTGTAATAAAACCAACAATTTCAATGTGAGCCGGCAGTGGCAGCCAGCAGTGCCGTGCACTGGTTTAATCCTGACTCCCTGTTTTGGCAACTCCAGGTGATACCTAAGGGGTAAGGGTCAGGGAGGAAGTCCTGAAGCCAGTCCTCTCCCCTCCCTGTTCCTAGTTAAGTGCCTATTTACGCGGGTTAATCAGCCAACACACCGGTCAGCATCATGAAATCCAGCAAGAGTCTTTCAGTCCCCTGAAAATGACTTAGTACCGACCATGTAACAGTTCCTCCGTGTTTTCTTCAGACAATCGTCTCTGGGGTACGTGCCCTCCCCTTAGGGCTCTGGCCCCTGCTCCCCCTGTTCCTGAGGGAGGATGTCAGGCTGGTTTTGTTTGCTAATCCTGGTGAGTCCTCCCTTCTCTCACAAGCCTGAAAATGCTTTTGAGTCCCCTGCTCTGAGAGCCACACAAAAGCTCCCTGCTCTGTGACAAACGCAGAGTGGAGAGGGCACCTTCCCAAATGAAGCAAGTAGAAGCCTTTGCTTTTTCAAAAGCAAACCAAAGTCATTGTTTGTATTCTTGGAAGATGTCGTCTCATTCACTGGAGGCTGAATGCTGAGTCTCTTTTGGAAAACTGCATTTTCTCGAGGCAAGTCACATGTTCTAGGAGTCCAGGCTGATGCAAGCAGAGAAAAAAGGAAGACAAGGAGAAGTGATCCTGGGGGTTTTCTCAAGCCCATGGTTCCAAAAGGTGCAATACAGCATTGGTTATGAGCAGTCCTTGATCAAGTTCGCTGATTAGGAATCTATTCAAGAAAAAGAAACAATGTAAGTAAATAAATCAGTGAAAACTAATTCATAAAGACTTGGTTATCTTACTATCAGTTAATAGATGAACCACCTAGGAGTAGCTCTTTTATAGCGACAGAAGCATAATTTAAGATTGCTCAAACATATTCACATTTAATTTTATTAGGAGGCATTGATGCTAGGAGATGGGAAGAGCAAGGCCTTCCACTAAGGCCTTTACTGTTCAAAGTTTAGGGAGCATATTTTAAAAATTCAGACTCAAAAATTACATCCTAATTTAAATATGTTTTGATTAACAACAACCATTTTTCTTTACTTTGATCTTGTTAGTGTCTGACCTGGGTCCAGTAAATATTTATTAAGCACTTCTTTTGTGATAGGTCCAATGCTGGACTCAGAGAGAGGCTAAATAATCACTGAGTAAAAAAGAACGGAGAGAAAAAAAACAACCCAGTAAGGTTAATAGTGAAAATTAATTTCACAGGCCAATATGAAGGCAATATGGGGAAAAGCTGTGAAATAATTTGTGCTCTGATGGCATTCATGCCATTCCAAGCAGTGTGTAAGATAAAGAAACATATACAATTGTAATGAAAAGTATTATTAATGAAGTCTAATCTGTTCAGGAGCCTATCAACAGTTTTCCTTTGTACTATGTATGAAAAAAACCACAAAGATTGTTAAGCAAATTATGATAAGGATTCAGGATGTCATAGGCGACAGTGCAGAAGCATCCTTTTTGTCACTGTGTCCTCAAAAGCAAAATGCAAATAACTCTGTCTCTAAAATAGTCTTTGATGAGACTCTCCCATCTTTGCCATCCTCGATATCAGTCTGAATTAGAGATGTCAGCGGCCCATTCTCTGTAACGGTGTTCATACCTCTGCATTCGTATTTCAGGTCGGAGAAGAACACCATTTCTTGAGAGAAGACGAACAACCCTAGTCGACCCCCAGCATAGGTTTTGTCATAGATGGGTCCTGAGTCGGCCATGATTTTCTTCCCTTCATACATCACCACTCTGTAGGGAAAAAGGAAAATCTCCTTAGTGACACTGGCACTTTTTGTCTTTTTGCCTGTGAGTGGGATTATAAGTGACATTTCCTCAGTGAGATCTTACCTAATGAAACCTGTCTTTGGCCTGTGGCTGAGACGCCATCTGTAAGCGGTGAAATCTTTCCAGCCTATGTGGCGGGGGTCATGCCACAGAGTGCGCACCTGAAGGACGAAGAAAAGGTTGAAACAGGAGAAGATTTGCTCCATCTGGAGAAGATTTGTATTTCACTCTTATCATAAGAAACAGTGCTTGGAAGGTACCCAGTGGATCCAACTTATTGGGCTGCAATGCAGGCTCTTTCCTAGGCCTCCTGACTTTGTTGTAGGCCACTGAATGTGCATAGAGCAGACAGACAGGGGCAGGGGCTCTTTTGTTTGTAAAGGCTAAAACTACCTTTGGATTTAAAGGGCAACTCTTGGTCACAGCAAACTCCCCTCTCAGACAGACACTATTGTGTTTTTACAAAGCAGAGCTTAACGCTGCAATTGATGCTGCTGGGAACTTTATATAAAGACTCCCTATTAGGAGTCTCAGTCAAAGAGTGTCCCCAGTGCTAGTCAGGCGCCCATCAGCTCTTTCCTTCTGCAGGGCGTTGCTTCCTACCTGGCCAGGGGTGTTTCCTGTGTGCCACAGGGCATTCCGCAGGTGCTCGCCAGGCCCTGTGGTGGAGTTGACAACTTTCACAGAAAGGCCTGAATATCCCTGAGCCCTGGTGGGGTTGGTGTCCCAGTAGGACTGGGTGACTTGTTTCCACATCACGACATAGAAGCGGCTGCTGGACTGGTAGCCAAAAACAAATCCGGCATAGTCATCGTCCCTTTCAGTGTTGATGAAGAAGGTGCCACTGAAGTCCACAGCATTAAACTCATCATAACCTGGAAGGGGAGGTCAGAGGCAGGTTCAAACCTGCAGCCTTCACAAGGTCCCCACATCTCCTTAGTACCCACAGGGACAGATGAAATGGCCAGGTTTTACATTTGCTTTCCCCCCAGGCATGCATTAGCCTCTTGACCTAAGACCTCAGTGCGTACCTACGGCAAGTCCAGGATCACAGTTGACAGTCTGGACAAGTTCTTTACCCTGATGGCGTACAACCCAGTTAGGGTCATTTTGGGATGTCCCCTTAGGATCGAGAGGAATCATCTGGAATCGGCGGAAATCAGTCTCACTGATATCAACATTCTCAGGACAGATGTCATCAATGTCTGGCACACTGTCATGGTCAAAATCATCTTTGCAAGCATCACCTCGACCATCACCTAAGGTCCAAAAAGCAAAGGTTCATTGGAATTCTGAAATCCTATCACAGTTGGTATCAGAAATTCACTGCCTGGGCAGTGTTGGCATCTAGCCCCCTTATCCTCTCAAACGCACTCAGCTTTGGTTTTGTTTTCTCAATCTAGACAGCCATGGTATCAGTTGCCCTCTTAAAAGTAGTTCCACTGACTCACCGTCAGAGTCCTTCTGGTCAGGATTGGGCACCAGTCTGCAGTTGTCCCTGTCATCAGGAATGCCATCATTGTCATCATCATGGTCACAGGCATCTCCCTTGCCATCTTTATCATGGTCAGCTTGGTTGGCATTGGGCACATAGGGACAGTTATCCAGGTTGTTCTGGTGGCCGTCCTCATCAATATCCTGATTATTGTCACAGGTGTCGCCAATGCGGTCTGAGTCAGAGTCCAGCTGAAAGAGACGGAAGTGGAGGGTAAATGGAAATGTAAATCATTAATGTTAAGGAGAACTTATGCCCCTCCAGCGGGGAGCGTTCTCCAGGGTCTGATACGGCTAGGGGGCTTTTAGGTCGACTTATAGACGACCGCAGAAAGCTAGTAATGGTAGCAATTACACTTTAAAACTTGTTTTGTTTTTTTTTTTTAATCCCTGTTTTCATATGAAATTCTGAGAAGAGATATTTGAGAGTTTTTAAAGAAATATAGCTGTCTACATAAAATTAAATAGATTAATTCCTAACCATGGAATGCAGTGTCAACGGTTCGTATCTTAATATTAAATGAAATTCTTTGTATACATTTTATTGACATGTCAACTTCTCTAGATCATGAAGTCAAGATATTGTCAGTATTAGTCAGTATATTGTCTGGGTAATGCGAGTGATAGGAATCAATTATTATGATTGGTATTTGGTTCTATGCATCTAATCATCTCTTGGCTTAGGTGGAGTCATAGATTTTTTTCGAAGCAGTTTTTCCTCAGAGTACTTTAACATCATTCAGTAGGCCTGGGATGCTGACAGACTGTTTATCTACAAATGGGTATTTTTCTTGCCGATATTTATGCTCTTTGCTTATGAGATTTTTTACATGATGCTTGAATTTTGTTATAAAACTTACTTCAATCTGAGGAGATAAAAATCATCCAGGGATGACTGGATGATTCTTCCAAGGATATTGGAATAATTTAATTTATGGTCAGTCAGTCCCAATGTCAAATAGATGACCCTTAGTGCCCTTGGATGAGCAAAGCTCCCCCCACGATGGCTCCAGAGCAATTCATCTTGTCGCTCTTTGCTTGATAGAACTTCACAAGAGCAAATTTTAGGAGGGAGGAGCTAATTTCTCATTTCTTTACTCTAGTAAATATATTACCTTTTTTTTTTTTTTTGCAGTTTTTGGCCAGGTCTAGGTTTGAACCTGTCACCTCTGGTATATGGGGCCGGTGCCCTACTCCTTTGAGCCACAGGCACTGCCCAAAATATTACCATTTTTAAAAAGTGGTTTCTGAGCTTCCAGAACAATGCATTTTAGAAAACAAAAGCCTTCTTTTAACTTATATCGTAGAACATAATGTTGGGACATTACACAAAAAAAGAGACATACTTTCGCGTGGGAATCCAGTTCTGTGTAATGTCTATTTGTAGCACTCCCTAGCATGGGTAAAGATGGATTGGTTTGTAATTCCAGAAACTTCTAAATAATGACAAACAGGAATTTTTCTTCCAGGTTTTTGACATATTCTTAGTTTGATAATTTTTTTTTTTTTTACAGTTACATTAGGCAAGAAAATGGTTATTTTTCTTAAGCATTTTTTTCTCATCTCCTGGCCTTATGTATGATTAAACTATCGTAGGCTCATCCCTTACAAATTTTTGCTTTGTATAATCTATCTTACAATGGCAGATCATCTGAGCAAATCAAATAGGCCTTCTTATAGAAGACAGAAGTTACAAGACCTTCACATTACAGGTTTACAAGGAGCTCCTATCAGGCAAACTGTTTACACAAACTTACTGCAATTGGCTGTGAATGTGGTAATGAAAGTGTTAAGGGAGTCTCCAACACTTTCACTTGGTGAAAGACCGTGGAGGGAGTCCACCTACCTGATCTGGATTGTGTTCCAAGGGGCAGTTGTCACACTGATCTCCAACCCCGTCCATGTCAGTGTCCCTCTGGTCCACGTTGTACACATACTGGCAGTTGTCCCTTTCATTCAGGATACCTGCAAAGGACAGGGGACACATAAGAGCTGGGATCTCAGCCTTGGATGGTTTAGCCAAACCATATACTGATGGCCAAGACTAAAGAGAACCAAGTGAAAGGTCCTCATGTCCCTATCCCCCATGGGCCTGCTGCGTCAGGGAGCATCTCACCATCTCCATCAATGTCTGCGGCACAGGCGTCCCCTTCCCCGTTGTTGTCAGTGTCTGCCTGATCCGGGTTGTGGTTGTAGGGGCAGTTGTCACAGCGGTCTCCCACATCATCTCTGTCATAGTCATACTGGGCGGGGTTGTAATGGAATGGACAGTTGTCCTGCAAAGAAAGAAATGGAGCACTTTATACCACTGTTAGTGAAACTCGCTCAAGCCTCAAACCCCGTGCAAAATATGTATAAAACTGCAAAATCATGTTGTCATTGTTTTCTACTCAGTGGATATGTTAATTGAGTCCTCAGTGTAAAATGATCACTACAAAAGTTAAAAGCCAGACAGAATGAAAGAAAAAGGATTCCTGTTAGTTACCAGTGAGATGTAAACTATAACCTCATCATCGCAGTGTGCCCAAAATGTAGATGTGGCATTTGAAATGAAGCTGGGGAACAAAGTGTCATGTGTTTATTCACTGTAATTTCTCAAGTGGGTGAAAAAAACAGTTACGATGAGAAAGAAAACAAGATGTTACCAAAATGCTTGGTAACATCTACATCCTCACGTTACTGAAACACACTGGATAATCTGAAGTTTTCATTGCATCAATTTGGTATATTTTTTGTTATGACCCTGTAATTTCCTTGATTCTTAAAGTGTTTCTGGCTGCTGCTGAATTGAGGAATGGGAAATATTTTGGTTTTACCCTATCATCTGGAATTTTGTCATTGTCATCATCATCATCGCAGGCATCGCCAATTCCATCCTTGTCATAGTCTTCCTGCCCGGAGTTGGGAAGGTTGGGGCAGTTATCCTGGAAAGAGAAAACACATTGTAGTTACAGTTTACATTCCTGTTGCTTGGCTCACACGTGGGGGAGTGTATCTGGACATTCCAAATAGAACAGCAGAAGGCTGCCCTGTAACAGTGTATACTTTCTATGGCAAAACAAATATAAATGTTTTCAGGGGGGAAATATACACAAAATTTGTATTAATGCTCTAGGCTTTATAGATGCTGTGAACACAAGTCCTACTCTGCTGCTATTAGAGTACCGGACATTTTTGGGGTGTAAACAAATCAACTATGGAACTCAATTACTGAAAGAGCCTTTCTCATTCATGTTTTTGGCAACAAATAGTTTAATCTCAATAGGAATTAATGCCCATTTGCCTTTGAGAGATTTAGTGTTTCAGTTTCATTTTTAAACTTTATTTAAAATCCTTAGCATGTTCTTTTGATGCAGACACATGAGAACATGAGTTCCCTTTCTGCAGACACATGAGAGAAGCTGACGCTACCTTTTTGCAGTGGTAAGTGGCGTTGGCCACGCACACCAGGTTCTCATTGGGCCAGCCGTCCAGGTCCGTGTCCTCCCCACAGATGATGCCGTTGCCAGCATAGCCGGGCTTGCACTCGCAGCGGTACATGGGGTCGCTGTAGTGGCCCAGATAGTTGCACTTGGCGTTCTTGTTGCAGTCGTGTGTCCCATCCATGCAGGGGTTTCGGGGCTTGCACACCTGTGGGTACCCGTCCTGATGTTAGCATAGAGACTTTGAGAGTCCCCAGAGAGAGGGGAAACCAGAGGAGTCCAGGCCCCTGTCATCTCAGGGTAAACAGAGGCTCCACGTGGAAGAGTGTGGGCTGCCTCTGACCTCCCCCTTCTCCCTCTGAGAGTGCCCAGGCTACAGGTGAACTTCACAGGTGAACTTTCCTTTATATTTTTTTCTTAAAATGGCTTAGCACCTCCCAGGCATTTACAAGCCCATCTGCTTATTCCAGAGCAGCTTTTTCAAATATGGTGGGCTATTTTGCTATTGTAGGATATACCCTGGATTTTCTAGTCGTGTTCCTAAAACTAGGCTGTATATTCATCACCCTTCCCTGTTTTTTGTGAAGGGTCTAAGATTCAACCTCTTCCTTTCCTAGCTGTTTTGGCCAAGGCTCCTCCCCGCTGCTCTGCCAGTCTACCTGCTGGTCTCGTCTGCTGTACCTGCTTGTTGGCCGTGGCATGCTCGACGCCCCGGCCGTAGGGCTGTGAGCCGGTGAAGCGCGGTGGGCAGGGCAGGCAGTTGTAGCCGGGGTCCGTGTTCTCACACCTGTGCTCCCCGTTGTGGTTGAAGCAGGCATCAGGCACTTCTTTGCACTGTGGAGGAGACCAGAGTGTGCTCATGTTCAGAAAACACAGCCATAGGAAGTGACCAGGACAGGTCAGCCGCTTTCTTAGCTAGACCCAGCAACTGCGAGCCCTCAATTCTCACCTCATCGACATCTTTGCACTGGACACCATTTCCACTGTAACCAGGGGGGCAAGCACCACACTTCCAGCTGCCGTCAGGGTAACTGGTGCACTTGGTACCCGCAAAGCAAGGATTGGATAAGCATCCATCTGAGACAAGGTGAGAGAGATGTGGACAGTGAATGGCTGGTCTAAGCTGCTGTCCCTGCCATGCCGGGCACTTACAATACAATAGGGTATAAGATATCATGGGGTCTGGGTAACCAACGGCTTGCTGGGATTAGTTATCCACCTGCATTTTAGAGTGAGCAAAGCACTCAGGACAAGCAGAAGGTGGAGCCCCCTTGCAGGCTGGCTGTAGCATTCAGCAACGTAGCAGGCTCCCAAGGGGACTCTGCCGGGGCTGCAGGGCTCACCAATTGGACAGTCCTGCTTGTTGCAGATCTGGTTTTCCATGACGTCACCGATGCAGTCCTTGCCTCCAAACTGAGGTGTGGGGTTGTTGCAGAGCCGGCTACGTTTCTGTACCCCTCCTCCACAGGTGACAGAACAGATGTCCCACAGTGACCAGGGGCCCCAGCCGCCGTTGACTGTAAAAAAGTGAACCATATGCAAAAATTGAGATCAATTTTCAAATACTTTACTTCTTACAGATTATTCTAAGCCTGTTCCAGAAACCTCTGCTACCCTGACACATGGAAAGAATGTTTGGGAAGAGGATGAGCTTGAAATGATTTTCTTTCTATTTTTCATTAAAAGAAGCTGCTGAGCATGCAGGACTTCACTTCTGTTTGTTTCTCTAGTAGTAACCTCTCCCCTCTATGACCCACTGACCGGGGGGCTGTGCACGCCAGGCCGCCAGCACACACTTACTGGGGCAGGCGTCCTTCTTGCAGGCTTTGGTCTCCCGAGCTTCGCCTTCACATGGTTTCCCGTTCATCTGGGGGCTGGGAGAGTTGCAGAGCCGGATCCTTGTGATCACACCGTCACCACACGTCACAGAACAAGAGGACCATGGAGACCAGTGGCTCCAGCCGCCATCCTGTTTAACTGAAGTACAAAGTTGATGGTCATAAACAGTGCTGGCCACACAGACGCTCTCCTTGGAAGCATATAAACCGAGTGCGGAGTAGAAATCGGCCCTTGACTCACATGCCCAAATATCAACATGGAACATTTCCTACCAGAGAACAGGTAATCAGCTGTCTTCATGGGTTGCTGTTAATAAACCAGCATTTGCAGGGTGCTTACTATGAGCCAACCTCAATGCTGACTGCTTTACATGTACTATCTAAATGAAATGCTCAAACTAATCAAGAACCATTATCATCCCCACGTTGCAGAGGAGGAAAGCGCCTCCAAGAGGGTAAGTTGTGTTCAAGCACAGGTAAGTGGGAGAAGTGGGATTCAGATCCAGAGATTCTAGAAGCCGTGGCCTTAACCGTCATGCTGTGGAAGTGCTGTTGGTGATGACACTACGGACAGGTCAGTTCTCTACGTGCCTAAGTGGCCAAGATGCTTACATCTCTTGTCACACTCCTGAATGTGGCAGGTCCGCGTCTGGACCGAGGAGCCCTCGCATCGGTTGTTGAGGCTGTCACAGGAACGGCCACGCTGCTGAATCCCATTGCCACAGGTCACAGAGCAGGAGGTCCACTCAGACCATGGAGACCAGCCATCGTCTGCAGAGTCGCTGGCTGCAGGAGAAAGGGGCTCGCTTAGTACATGATGCGTTAGGCAAACTACTCTTTAGATGGCTCTGTTCTGGGCGCTTCACTCGTCAGAGGGTAAAAAGCAACACAAAGCTATGTATTTCCTTCTGATACTATTTTCTGAGCCTTACTGAAGTATCACTGACAAATATTGTATATATTTCAGCTGTATCATACGACGTTTTGATAAACATTTTGATGTGATTACCTCTGTCCAACTAATAAAGGTAATTGTGAGGTGATGGATATGGTTTTTTTTTGGTGGTGATTTAAGACCTACTCTTTTTGCAAATTTCAAGCGTATAATGCAGGACATTACGTATAGTTATCATTGCTGTATATGAGCTCTCTGGAATTTAATATCAGAGGATACATAGTTTCAGTTGCACAAGATGAAGAGCAATATATTTGTTGGGCCAAAAGCCAAGGGGTCTATCCCAGGTCATGGTGTGCGTAGCACTGGGGGAACTGGACCCTTTGCCTGGGCCAGTGTTCTTCTATCCATTGTTTCTTTCTTTTCCTTTCTCAGCATTTCCAATGAGTTTCCCTTTGCTGACTTAAGATACCTGACTAGGCATGTCTAGTCTCAGGCTTCCAAGAGGACTAGAGTTGTAGGCGGCTTAAAGGAATCTCTTTGACCATCAGGGGAGCCATAGACCACATGTTTGACAGATGCACTTGAAGGCAGCTCCAGCTCCAACTTGGCCATGAGGTCAGTCAGTTTGTTGTTCCTCTCCCCCTAGCATGCGGGGCCCTCTCTGCACATATTTTCACAAGAGGACAGTGTGTTTGTTTACCATCTGCCCAGGCCCCGTGACCACAATCCCATCTAGCTGTATCAGACAGAAGAGAGAGAACTTATTTTCCTTTCTCATTAGCTGTGCGTTTTCTCAGCAATTCCTGATTCAAGTTAAGAATTCTGTTCCCGCTAACTTTGTTCCTTTTAACCCCCATCTTGAGTCAATGCTGAGCAGAAATAGATGCACGTGTGGTTGTGACAGTGCCCATATCGCTGACATGATCCCTGGATGGGGCTGGTGCTCGGAGACACGGCCTGTGTGTCTGTGTATGTGAAGGGCAAGCTCTAATTTCCTGTTTTCTTCCTTATCTCTGTCGTGATGAATCACTTTATGACTTGTACTATATTAAATATTGTCTCAGCAAAGTGGTTAATTTATACTGGCAACAAAACCCAAGGATCAGGTGCCACATAACAATATAATGTCTTATTTCTTTTAGTGCTCTGGAACTCCAATTGCTATTTCTCTTTTAGGTCTCCGATATCTGTGGAAATGGGCAAAACTTGTAAGCCCTGTTCAGCCCAGAAGCCTGTCAATTTCTCTGGTGAGCAGATTTTTCTTAAATGTGCTGCTAAGCTCAACTTAGAGTTGTTGCTGCTACGTTTTCATCTCCTTTCCTCATAGCCTAAACTCAGAATCAATAGCCTACGAGCTCCGTATCCTATAATACAGATGGGTGATTCAGACTTAGTCATAATGGAATTTTTGATTGAATACAGCAGACGAGCTATCAGTTAACCAGCTGCTGCAGCAAGAAACTGAATGAAAAAGTATATGATGGAGATGGGGGGGGGGGGTTCCAGTGTTGACCTAGTCACTGAAGAACAGTCATGCCATTGTGGGAACTTACGCCAGCACCGTGGGCAGCATTCTCCGTCAGGAACGGTGGCATTGGAGCACGGCATAATGGGGCAGGACACCTTTTTGCAGATGGTAACTGAGTTCTGCAGGGCAAAAGAATAAAGAGGAAGTGGGTTACTAAGCATGTACAATCAGAAGTTTGCATACTGTACACATTTCCGTTTCAAGCCAAAGCATGGTCTGTAAATGGTCTAGTGGGATGATTTTGATAGAAGATCTGTCTGTGTTGTATTTGCAGCCACCATTATCACAGCGGCAGTGTTAGTGCCAGTTGTCACTTGGAGAGTTCTTTGTGATTGCTACTCAGTCAAGGGTGGAAGCAATAGTGTGAAGAATTCATACACGGGGAACCAACAGATATCATGGGTCAAATCTACATCTAAAATTTAGCCCCAACTTTTAAATTGCTTCTATTTTATTTTCCAGGGGAACATCCATAAGGATTTTTTCCTCCTCATCTACAGATCTAGCTTTGTGTTATCTTGGAAAAGAATGGGAGTTTAGTGATGTTGGCTCCCAAATCCAGTACTCCGTGATTCGTATTTAAGTTTGTCTTTGCTTAATGATCCAGGTAAACCCCTAAACTCACCTGCCACTGATATGCATAAAACAAACACAGCTGATTGTACCATCTGAGCTAAAAAGACACTGATGTCCTAACAAGGTCAGGCTAAGTGATTTCAACAACAATCGGTACTGTAATGTAATAAAGGAACCTCCATGCCATAGCTGAATGCAAATCAGAGTTGGGGGAAAAAATAAAACCTCGTTGGAGCATTCCTTTTATTTACCCAAGATTCAATATTTAGCCTTTAAACTAAAGCAGTTCAGATGTCTTAGTAGATTTGTTCTCTTAGACACTTGGCCTGGGGTAAAATTCATACTTTGATAAACCATCTGAGAGTTTAGAGGAGAATTTTTACATGCCATAATTGGATCTTAAAGATGCAATGGGTATCAGTCCTTGGGACGTAAGAATGTGTGTGGCCATTTGAATATTCTCCCAGAGATGTGGTTTGAATCGTTTCATTTGTGAAGACCCCTTACCTGACAGCGACACTCTGTGCAGCTGTCGACTGTCCACTCCTCGTTATTCCTGTACTGAACTCCATTGTGATAGCAGAGGGGCGGCCTCCTCAGCTCGTTGGCCAGCTCTTTGTTCTCTTCAGTCTACAAGGGGAGAATGATCGTTAGCGTCCAACCTCATTTCCAGTCACTTTGAGACCCTCTCTGAGAAACCCTCAAGGGCTGGGAGCAGAGGCCACTGACCACTTTGCGGATGCTGTCCTGCAGCGTGGTCACAATGGTGCGCAGGCCCCTGAGCTCCAGCACCATGCTGGACAGCTCGTCACAGGAGATGCCGCAGATGGCTTGCAGGTCCTTTGTCTTGTGGCCAATGTAGTTAGTGCGGATGGCAGGGCTGGAACCGTTCACCACGTTATTGTCGAGGGTAAGAAGGACATTGGTAGCTAGTAAAAACCAAAATGAAAAAGGGAGAGAAAGGCTTCAAACAGATGTTCTCACTAGCCAGTCTATTGAGTTCTTAGATGTAAAAGACATTTCATTAGGGGCGAGGGAGGCAGGTGAGCAGATGTGGTGTATGTGGAATGCCCTTGGAGGCCACTTTGGTACGCCTCCTAACTGTGTTACCTGGGGTAGTTTAGGTCTAACCACTGTCACTTAAATTTTGCAGCTTGTTTTGTGAAATTCTCCAATTTCCCCATATGCCCTAACAATAGAGAGGTACTCACAACTGGAGCAGCCTTTGTTCCTGAGGATGTCTTCTGGTGTGGTTCCAAACACAAACCTCACATTCTGCAGCACCCCCTGTGGGTAGAGGACACACATTACTTGTAGGATATTGAGGGGGGTGGGGGTGGGGAGGAGACTGTCTTTATACTAGAGAGGGCACACCATAGATGTTCTAAAAGCTTAGAAGACTTCCATTTGAAGATTTTAAGATGTCTATGTTAGAATAACACAGCAACATAAATTGCCAAACAACTTCAAAATGTTAATTAGGTCTTCTGCCAAGTCTTCAATATTTTACAAAGAATTCAGTTATCAGTTTATTGTGTACACAGGAAATGGAATCTGATACTAAGCCCGCAGGATATAAAGACACTTTCTAGCGTCAAAGAGTTACACGTGGGAGTTCAAAGTCACAGTTGCAAAGCTCTAGAAGTTAAGGAGAGGAAGAAGCTGCAAAAGCAAATAGCCACCATTTTAACCTTTTATTTGAGACCAGCTGTCCCCCACCCCCGGAAGAATCCAATAGCAAAATGGTATCAATTCTGCCCATAAAAGAGATACATTACAGGCGATATTCAAATTGCTGGAATGTATTTAAATTGAGTTATTTTTTTCAAGAGCATGTGGAATAACCAAGGCTTGAACAGGCTATTACAGGAAAACTGTTTCCTTGGGTAGTTTTCAAAGTTTAGTTCCCAGACCACCAGCATCAGCATCACCTGGTACTGGTTAGGGATGTAATTTTCAGGCCCTACTCCTGGCCTGTCTAATGGTGTGGGGTGCAGCAACGTGAGCCCTTTAACAAGCCTTCAGGCGATTCTGATGCTCCCCCAAACTTGAGAACTACTGCTTTAGTCTACCTACAGACAATATTTCTGTAGCCCTTCTGGCAGGCCAACTGGCTGGCAGATGACCCCATGGAGCAGGGCTCCGAGAAGAGGCCTCACCTGGAAATTGTCGTTGACGCCTCCTTTTGCGATGCGGAGTCTGGCAAAGTTGGCCAGGTCTCTGGTGAAGATGCTTTGGATCGGAACATCCAGCTCAGCGTTCTCCATCTTCTCACAGTCAATGTACAGCTGGGCCCTGTCTTCCTGCACAAACAGGGTGATGCTCTTCCACTGGCCGGTGGCCAGGAGAGCTTCTTCCACGGAGACCACATGCTGCTTCCCCTGCACAGTCAGGCTCAGGTCCAGGGTGCCCGCCTTGCCATTGGACACTATGCTGAAGACCTGGCCGGAATGGTCTTTCCGCTCCAGGGCCAGCAGTGTGCCCCGGGTCTTCTTCATCTGCCTCAGGGAGGCCAGGAGGAGGAAACCTTTCTCTGCACGCACAGCATCCACCAGGTCTTGGAACTTCTCATCAGGCACAGGGGGGATCAGGTTGGCATCCTCGATTCGGAAAGCTGGACTGGAAGGGTCGGGGCCTTTAACCAGTCGGCGCCCAGAGCCCTTGCGGGCAGCCCCAGTGAGTTCAAAGATGTCAAAGACGCTGTTGTCTCCTCCAGATTCTGTTGGAAAGGAGAGGACACGCAGTGAGCTCTGTAGGTGGGGGGCTTAGGTCTGAGGGGTGAAGCCAGAGGAACAGGGTGAAAACTCCTGGCAACCACTGAAAGAGCTGAATCAACGCCATGGTCAGAGGAAAGCTGCGTCTTGATGTGTGTCAGGGCCAAGGGAGGGCACCCTGGGGTAGCCAGCACCTCCTCCCCCTAAAGGTACCACACAGACTCACCTGGAATGCGGTTGGTGCCACACACATGCAGCAGGAACAGGACAGCGAGTCCCCAGGGCAGCCCCATGGCGGAGCTGTTTGTGCCCAGCAGGGAGCCTGTAGCAGGAAACACAAGAGCCTGGGATCAGAGTCCAGCTAAGCAGGGAGGGTGGGCGAAACCTGCCGGTTGGGCACGGGGCCTGGACCCTGGCATTCCCTCTTTGGTCTCCCATTTGCCAAAACGAAGGACGTCAATTTACTTTCCAGGGGGCACAGCAAAAAAAATGAGAGCGGTGGAGGGAGGCGACCCTAGTTTTAAAGTATGGGGGATCAACAATTTGGGGGCTTCTCTTTGGCAATTTGAGGAGCAAGATTAGGAGATGCGATCTGGGGGCAGGAGGAGGAGGGCAGGGAGTAGTAGAGACTTCCCTGGAGGTTTAGGGAAAACCTGGAGAATAAGGAAATCTTGGGCTGTCCTGGCGAGTTAGTTTGTGGACCCCTCAGGGTGAAGAGGATGTCTCTGGAGGTTTCCCATGAAAAGAGTCCCCGAGAGGCTGGGAGGGACAGGCTAGGGCAGGCGAAGCGGGAGAGGATGGGATCAAGGTCCCCTGAGAGGCTTCAGCTTCGGGGCTCCAGGTGGTTGGCGCTGGCAGCTCGGGCAGCTTACCTGTGTGGACTGGGGGACCAGTGGCCGGGTGTGGCGGGCGAGGGAGCAACGACGGTCACTGAGTCCTGGAGGGGCGCTGGGGCGGCCTTTGCGGCCAGGGAACCGGCGGCCTGAGTTGGAGGCTGCGCGAGGGAGCTCGCAGGAGCGCTAAGTGGCAGGCAGGCCCGGGAGCAGTGGCTGGCGAGGCGGAGGAGCCGCGCGCTTTTAAAGGGGGTGCCGCATTCCTGGGGATTCCTCTGGCCAATGGGCGGCGGGCCGGGCAGGAAGCGGGGGGGGGGGGGCAGTCTGGGCTCCTCTCTCCGCCCCCCGCCGCCTGGCGCGCAGCTTTCCAGCTAGAAAGCGGAGGGGGAGCCGGGGTCGGGGCACAGGAGCACTGGAACGTCTCAGAAAAATAGGTGCCCGCCCACGCAGCCTTGGCGCGCACAGGCCGGGCACTTTGGCTCTCGCGCCACGCGGGCCCGAGGCGTTCCGTGTGAACATCTCGGGCAGCGACCACCCGAGGCCCTTGTTGGGGGACAGCTGTTAGGCGATCCGGTCTCCTTGAGTGCCTGGGGTGCGGCTGGGGGGCGGGCACCTTGAGACAGATCCCGTTGGGGTTAAAACCAAAACAAAAACAAAACTGACGGGTAAACGGGACCATGAGATGGGACCACGAGAGAACCATTCGTTAAAGCAGCTGCCTGTTGGGTTCCTGTGGACCCTCATCCATCCTTCCCTGCGGGTGGAGGACCACGCGTCCTCGGTACATTGCGCTCCCGCCCTGGCCACACGCCCGCCCTCCGCCTGACCCCCCTCCGGGAGGCGAGCGCTGCGTCGCCCGGGCCGGCGGGGCGCTGTGCAGAGCGCGCCTTACCCGCTGCCCGTCGGGCACACTTTCCCCCAGTGGCCGCCCGCGTCCCGGAGAAAGTGGCTTCTCTGGGTGGCTGCGGCGCTTCCATGGCGGGCCGCTTGGGGGCGACAAGCGCATTATGATCCAGGGGCCCAGAGCGGACAGCTACTTTCTAGTCGGGAATTTTAAGGAAAACTTAACTCGTATCCAGTCTCCTCAAGCCAACACTGAAATTATGTCTTGAAAAACAGTTTTTGTGCCCACTCGTGCTTCTTAACGTGACTCCTGGTTGGAGAATTTGCAGAACCATCTGGCTCCAGAGTCTTAAAACTATTTACAGAACAGACCCATAGAGCAATAAATTATCCTCTGCCTATTATTTTATTTCCCTTTTTCCTCCCTAAACGTTCTTTTCATTTTTCGGCTCCTGCAACCGAGGTGTGGGTTACATTTCTGTGGGTGCGCACGTTGCCATGAGTGCCGCTGCCTAGTGCTTCTGTCATTGCAGTCTGGCATCCAAGCCACTGTCCCAGACCAGTATGACTGCAGCTGCCTGGAATCCCATTCATCTCTTTGGGATGGGACGTCAGCAGGCGCCGCTTCCTCCGCTGTGTCCTGCACTATCAGGCGGGCCCTGAGACGGGGCTCAGGTAGGAGTTTCACCAAATAAGGATCTGCACAGGCTGGGGGAAACCCTTGGGGTTCGCTTCTCTTCTTAGCACTTACACCGGGCAGGACTCCCAACTGCTGCAAACACCCACGCATTTACGTTCCTCAAACAGCATTTCACTTTTCTGGTGTGGGAGTGTTGTGTGACAATGTGGTGTGTGTGTGTATTACGGAGTGAGTGTTTTCTAGTTACTCAATATGTACATCAAGTGCCTTTAGGAGATGACTAGCATGTTCCTAAGACATGTTTGTTTGTTAGATTTCAGATGTTAGGAGGCAGGAAGAAGAGTTTCTATTGGATGCTTAGTCAAATCAGATTCCTGTCCTGGAAGTCATAGGTAATGACTCATCCCCACAGATCTGAGAATGTCAGCAGCAGCCGCCATACGTGGCCTTCCCCATCTTTCTCCTTCCCCAGCATCCAGCTTGCTCTTTGAAAGGCGATTGCTATTTCTTTCCACTTGCTGATATAGGGTATTTAGGAACAGTTCTTAGAGGGCTGGGCAGCTGACGGCCTCAGGCCCCTCTGGCTCATTTGGTCACTTCATACAGACCAGATGAGGGTTTTGAGGCTCACAAGAGGCCCACAAAATTGGGATGCATCTTTCTTTGTATTAAAAGACCATCTTCCAATGGCTAAGCTGCATCAAGAGAGTGGAAACAAGGACTTGAAGTCCATCAGGCTATGTGCTGCCATGACTGAGGGCTTACAGGAAAGCCTCTGGAGTTTCCTTAGAACTTGGCTCCTCTAGGCAGAACAAGGAATTTTCAACTTCTTCATGCTTTATTAATTGGAAGGTAATTTTTTGGTGGTAGGAAGAGCTTTCTTATCAAAGAAAGCTGGCAGGTATATGAACTGGCAGGTGTATGAGCTGTTTATCTCAAGCACAAAGCCCTTCCCCAAGTCACAGTACTCTAGTTCAGGTGTCCTCAAACTATAGCCCCCGGGCCACATGCAGCCCACCTAGGCCATTTATCTGGCCCGCTGGGTATTTTTGCCACTGCTGCCTGTCCTGCTTAGCAGCCAACTCGTCCTGGGGCCTACAGTCCGGCCCTCCAACGATCTGAGAGACAGTGAACTGGCCCCCTGTTAAAAAGTTTGAGGACCCCTGCTCTAGTTGTTCTGGGTTGAAGGGAAGAATCAGAGAGGAGGGGGTGTCTGGGCACCTGTTAGGAACTCACCCACATTCTTTTTGGTTAATATGTGGTGCAGACATTCCCCCCGAACCTTATGTGCCTCTGGGAAGTTTTGAGAGAGCAGGAAAGGGAAAAGGAAAAAGAAGACCTACCCCCTTGAATGCAAGGGATATCATTCCCTTTGGGGGCGTGTCTCTATGAGCAAGAATCGTTGGGATTTCAAGCCAATAAACTCACATGGGCCCAGGTGATGGAACTTTCAGAGAGAAGGCTCAATTCTCCTTTTGCCAAGTTGCCATCTTTGAGGAATACTTACTTAATTGAAATATAATTGTAGGTCACATGGCATCTCACCTAAGATTTCCTTTTTCCAGGTTCCTCTTATTGGAGGTAGGATTGACCCAAATACATTGCCAGTGAATAGCAGGAAAGGACTGTCAACAATAGCCAGTTTAAAACTTCTCTGTGATTAAGGAGAGCAACATAATTGAGAAAAAATATTCAATTTATCTAGCAGAGAACAGCAAGGGGGGTTTGATTTTGTGTAGGGATTTTTTTTTTTAAATGTTAGAAATGTTTAGGGGTGAGAGATTTCTTAGAAGTGTGCAGCAACCCAAACTCATTGTATTCCACAGCAGTACAGAATCATAGTGTCTCCAAAACAAAGACATCATCATTTCATTCCCTCTGAATATTGTTCCCCAGCTCCTGGTTCAAAGTTGTCTCAGCTCAGCTGTCCTCAATGGTCAGAGCCAGAGGGCAGTTACCAACAGATTTTTCTTATGCTTCAGTCAAACACCAATTCAACTCTTTCTCCTCCATGAGGTGTTCTCCAGTGGATTTTTGTTGCACTATTTCTTCTTTCTGTGAAAATTAAAACATGAGTTATTTCTGTCATTCAGCTCAACACTTTATTCTCTTTATTCTTTAGTTTAGTTTTTTTTTTTTTTTTAATGTGTGAGGACCAGATTTTAAACACCCAAAGGCTTGGGCTTGGGAAGAGCTCTTTGAATTTCCAAGTCCATTAATGCTCAAGTCAATTTACAGCACAGAAGAACTGGACTTCTCACAATTTCTGTGACATGCTCTACATTTCACACAGTTATCCCTTAGTTTTGAGGTGGACATGGTGAGCTACGCCCATACATGGCCCTTCTCCCCATAGGATTGAAACAATACTCTGGGGGAATTAATGTCAGTTGGAAGGGGTGGGAATACTGGTTTAGGGTAACTACCTTCTCCCCTCTCCCTGCTTCCCCTCCAGTGACTGAGCTGGGAATAGGCACCTGACCCATTTCTAGCCAATGAGAGGTTTGCTGAAGGCTTCTGGGTAAAGTTCTTTCTTGCTGGAAAATCAGCCTCTCTCCACCTCTTTTGGACATCAGCAAGAATGCCGGTAAGTGACGTCTGGTCCTGTTGGCACAGTGGGAGCCAAACAGCATGATACCAGTGCTGGGGAAGGCAAAGCAGAGACGGGGAGGACCCTATCTGTCAGATCACCTTTCTCAGCTGCTAACTCTGCCAACCTTTAAGGCTGTCTTCCAGATTTCCTTGGATATGTCCTGTTGTTTTCACTCCCTCAGTGCCCTAGACCTCGTAACTGTTAGCAGCCTTTTCTCCTCCGTCTGGATTGTCATTTCACTCATACTTTGGCTTGAGTCTTTTCTTATTTCATTATTATAAAAGAAATAAGGATGGGTCATAGAATAAAAACGTTTTAAAGGCTTTTCACATACGTTATTAAAATGCTTCCCAGGAAAGCCGCCCCAGTCTCTCTCCTCCCAGCCGCGTCAGGCGCCCTTCTCCCTGTCCC